ATCTCAGTTTACAAAGTCAAGGAGCAGATTTCTTGTTTAAAAAGATCCGTAACAATACATCTCTATTTTTATATACGTATTATTTTACAATATGTAAGAAAAGTTGAGGGAGCTGTACTTGTTTGGCTTGGAGAAAGAGAAGGCTCTGGCATCTCATTGCAACCTTCCAGTACATGAAGAGAGCTTATAAGCAGGAGGGAAATTAATTTCTTGCAGTTTAATAGTGATAGGACAAGGGGAACTGGCTTCAAACTATAAGAGAGAAATTTAGGTTAGGTGGTAGGAAGAAATTTTTTACTGAGAGGGCAGTGAGGCACCGGCACAGTCTGCCCTGAGAAGCTCTGGGTGCCCCATCCATGGAGGTGCTCAGGGCCAGGTTGGATGGGGCCCTGGGCAGCCTGAGCTGTTGGGTGGCAGCCCTGCCCACAGCACGGGGTTGGAACTGGATTATAGAATCATGGAATGGCCTGGGTTGAAAAGGACCACAATAATCATCTAGTTTCAATCCCCCTGCTACGTGCAGGGTTGCCAACCACTAGACCAGGCTTTAAGGTCCCTTACAACCCAAGGCATTATATAATTCTGTAATATGTAACACATATTTCCTGGCCAGATTCTGACATTGTTTACCGTAACTATGTTAAGTAGCATTTACATTTGCCCAAATAAAACTGGGAAAAACTGTCATCATAGAATTGTTTAAGTTGGAAGGGACCTTTGAAGGTCATTAATTCCAACTCCCCAAAGTTCCCTAATCTTTTTTTCTGTTCATTCATAAATAAGTCTTTCTCCTTAAGGTATTTAAAAAAAAAACAAACCAAAAGTGCCTTTTCATACACTCCAGTATTTCTTGTTGAACGTTTAGTAAGTTGACAAAGCAATCAAGTCCTTTTTAGTGTTAAAGCATAACTAAAGAGAACAGTAAGATAATATTTTGCATTAAATGATTTAAGAGTCTCTAGTCTGCATTAATGGGCACTCTAAAGCCCTTGCTAATAAACACGTTTTTCCAAGCAGGATTTCATCACATTCTGCAAAAGATTTTTCATATTACAATAATCTATTAAATCTGCATCAATTCAGAATTCAGATATACCAAAGCATATATTCATAGAATTTTTTTTTAAGTAGTGTGTCAGAGATAATAAGCAATAAAGACAGATAATTATACCAGTAAATGAATAAATGAAACATTTATATTATTACATTATTAAAGCCAATGACTGTTTATTGCAAACCATATGGACTTGAAGGTTGTAATTTCACGTGTATGTCTGGTAATGACAGTTTAATCAAAGGTAACTATGATCAAACAAGCAGTGTAATGAATTCACTGATGAAAATTTAGCTCTTACTCTCCTGCAGCATGTATATGGCTATACGAACCCTGCTCAAAATCTCAAGCAGCAAAGAGTATTTCTAGCTGTAAATGTCACTGCAGTGTTACAAAGTTTGCAGCACTGTTTATGCATCATGTAGCTCTTTCAGATTTTGGACATAAAAAAGGAGGCAAGGACACCTAGTAATTGGCAAAAAGAGTTGAAGAAGAATGCCTTTAATTTGTTGTTACTTTTAACTTTTCTTTCTGTCTTGCTCTTCTGGACCAGAAAAACCCTCAACTCCAATTTTCAAATAATATCTGTGAAGTTCATACTGATATAAAGTGTATAAAGGAATACATAGCAGGGCCCAAATTCAGCTGCATCTGCCGATGCTTAAATAGGGAGCTGATATGTATTTATGTGAATCTTATATATCTATTGGCTGTTCAGCTTAACTGGAGGAAAATTGAAGAAATGAGAGTATAAAGCTGACAGTGAGAGGATTCACAGAATCACAGAAGGGTTGGAAGGGACCTCAAGGATCATGTAGTTCCAACCCCCCTGCCTAGCAGGGCCACCAAACACACACATTCAGATCAGGTTGCCCAGGACCCCGTCCAACCTGGCCTTGAACACGACCAAGGACGGGGATTCCCTAGGAATGACAGGTGGAAAGCTCAGAGGTTTGGCTTACCCTCTGCAACTACAGAGGGAAATGAGTTTCTCTCTTCTGTGAGTAGGAGTTGAGTTTTAGCTAGTTGATCTGGTGTTAGGGTTAGCTAACGCTGCAAGATTCCTTCAAAGGTTGTTTTAACACTGAAGGCATGGCTGTTCAGTTTCATTGCTTTGTTCTGACTAGTATTTTTGTATCTTTTCCAGCAAATTCAGCCATTTGGTGAGCCCTAGAAATAATGTTAGGAGTATTCTCATTTCTCAATTTCCTTAATTAAAGGCATTTTGTTAAAAAAAGAAAAAAGAAAAAATAAACAAATTGCTACTGTTTTGGTTAATATGTAATTATAATTTTACTGCCATATATTATCTATCTTACTTGATGTTTGAGTAAAATTTTGACTCAGTAGCACTTCATGAGATTGTTAGTGGGATGCAGTAGTTCTTGCCTTCTGTTTTTCCCCAAGTGACACAGAGGTTTGTTGAAGGCTGGAGCTAGCTTGTGAATAGGAAGAAAATTCATGCCCACAAGTAAATTCTAGGTTGTCAAAAAGAAATCCTTTCGTACTTGTAAACTGCCCATCTCTTGTCTCAAAACTGAAGGATCGCACCATTATTCCTACATTCCTATAAAAAGTCTTCAGTGTAGAGGAGTGGAAAATAGCATCTTTATTTAATTTTATTATTTTGTTATTGTTCTGTGTACTTTTCCTTTTTAGCCAGGTAAAAGTTAAAGATGGAATCACATGCAGACTTCAACATGTATGGGAAAAGAGTGTGCAACAGGGAGTGGCATTGAGATTGAGGAGCATCAGGAGCATCAGGGATAGTTTGTAGCTGAAAAAGAACTGAATGCAGAATGAATATGGGGAAAATATTGACTTCTCAGAAGCACATGTTGACTTTAAGCATGTGGGTAATTAGCCTATGTTAAAGAGTGTGAATTATTAATTTCTTAAGTGATATGCAATTTTTAACATATTGCACATTTTTCTGGGAGGTGCCTAGCATCCACATCTCCTGTGAATTTCAGTTGTGAATTTAGCAGTATCCAGGATTTTTCACTTTAGTTTTTCCTTTGAGCAGAAAGCAAAGCCATTGTCACTGCTCACTTTTTCATTTAATGCCCCAATAAAACTGTCATAAGCACCGACACCTCAAATACGGGCAGTTAATATTACTGCCAAGTAATTAAAAGTAGAGTCCAGGTAACTGCATTTAGGGGCAGGAGAAATTTCATCTTAAATTATCGGTCACGGTTCATTACCGTATTTTGTAAAAGATTTAGAACATTTTCTGTTTGGACAGTTTCCTCCTACATCTAGATAGAAGTTCAACATGTGTTATGAATGCGTGAAGTTTATATGTGGCTGAAGAGCATAAGATGCATTAAGCATTGAAATTATCAGCTTCGAAGAGATTTATGACCTGGCCAAGTCCTAAAGAAGACCTCCTTCTCTCCAAATTGGAAAGGTACGGATTTGATGTGTGGACTGTTTGATGGACAAGGAACTAGTTACAAGATCACATTTAGCGACTAATGGTCAGTGGCTCAATAACTGGATGGAGATCAGTGATGAGTGTTGTCCCTCATGGGTGAGTACCAAGAGGTTAAAGTGCCCTTTAACATCATCAGTGACATGGACAGGGGGATTGAGTGCACCCTCTTCATGTTTGTGGATAACACCAAGCAGTTGACATGCCAAGGGATGGGATGCCATCCAGAGAGACCTAGACAGGGTTGAGCAGTAGGCCCAGGAGATCCTCATGAGTTTCAACAAATCCAAGTGCAAGGTGTTGCACCTGGGTCATGGTTACCTCTGCCATCATTACAAATGAGGGGATGTAAAGACAGCGTACAGCCCTGCTGAAAGAAACTTGAGGTTACTGGTGGATGCCAAAGTGCTCTCCAGGAAGAGGGAAGCAGGCAAAGGAGAGCAGGATTCATTGCACTCTGGCCATTGAACAGCATGCTGTGAACTAGAGCATACTTTACTCTCTGCTTTGTCATTTATGTTGTAGTTTTCAGAGGTTTCATAGCACGCAATGAAATGCTGCCAGCTGCAATATTGCCATCATTTGAAATTCTCATGTGAAAGAGGTGGCTAAGCAGGCTTCTCCGTCTCCTTTTTCACCACTTTTGGGGAGATCTCAGTAAGGCCTGCTCTCCAAGTAGCTGGTCCTTGTGTCCTCTATTTCGTAAAAGTTTTATTCTGTAGAAATGCCCTTTGGGTGACTTGCAAGAGTCACCTGTGGACATTACTGCAATTGGGCCAGATGGATACATATACATATGTGTCTATGTATGAGCTCATTCAGAGTCTCAGGTCTGCCTCTGTGAAACTTATTTAAATACTGACCTTTACCTTCTTTGCTGACCCTGGGTTTATAGAGGCTGTAACTCTAATTCTAAGGGGATTTCTGGCACTGTGTAAAGGAACTACTTGTCTCTTTAACACATTATGTTAACGAGAGTGAACCTCAACTCATCAATATGGTGTTTTTTCCTTGACAATATGTGTGTTCTTGCATTAGTAGTTTCTATATTTGTGGTGAACTAAGGAGAAAAACAAAACAAACCACCAAATCTTCACATAGGGATTGTGAAAACAGCATTTTGTTGCCCAGCTTCTGGAGTTTCCAAATAATGCTTAGAGGGCAGTGAATATTTTTTTCCTTAGGGGTTTTCAGTTCCTTTTGTCTTTCGCCTCGTATGACCACCTGCTTTCAAGGGCAAACAAACTTGGCTGTCTTCCTGGGCTTGCAGCTGCTTTTGTAAGTTTTCTTTGAAAGAGGAGAGAGCAGCTTGAACACAGAACTTGGATGTTGCTGCTTTGCTGGAGAGGGTAGACTTGGGTGGGGTAGCAGAGACAAACTGCAGTTCTGGGGCTGTTAGGAGTCAGCGTGGAGCTGCTTCTCTTGAGCCAACAGCTCTCACTCATCTATCACGTACAGCCTGGACCAAAGGTGAGCGGGAATGGTAATCAATAGCCACTGGCTTGCCAACAGGGAACTGTCTGTGTGCTAATGATATGGAGTTAAAAGGGAGGAAGGGATCCATTCTCATAGAGGAGGTACAGTGGGGGCACTGGGTCCTTTTGCACTGCCATCAGAACTGGTTTTCATATTCTTATCATAGTGTAGACTTGGAGCAGTCTTTCCTTGTTTGATTATAACTTAGTCTCATTTGTGGAATTTGCTGCTATTCTGTACTTCACTAGAAGCACTGGTAATTGTTTTTGTTTTGTTTTGTTAAGGTATAACAGTCTTTTCTGTTGTATGGCTTCAGCTGCCTAACTGTGCTCACGTGGGCAGCTGCTTCTGTTTTATTTTGATTTCTTAGGTAGTAGTATCAGATTGAATCAGAATCCTATTCCCAGTGGCAGTGATTTCCATCTTTCAAGTACTTTACCTGTGCTCAGTTACAGCATAGTAAGATAGCTGCCATAAGCCTCTAGAACAATCTGGGGGCTATGAGGCAAGAGGGACAGGAGAGTAGAAGCTATGCCAGCTCAGAATGTGGGACATGTCTAGAAGAATTTACCATATGATTTAATACTATTAGTTGCAAACTGGGAAAAGATAACTGCATGGGAGAGTTCTGTGGCTTCAACAATACTCTTTAATACACTGAAAAGTAAAAGCTTTACACAGAAGGTGCAGAAAAATTCATGGGCTTAAAGAGTGCATCTGTAAGTGGGTAACACAAGCAGGTACAACAAGAACAGAAAATGATACTGGGTGGCAAAGAGTGATATATCCATAGAAAATATAATCATTATTTATGGTTGTGCATTTGGGTTTTATTGAGACATATTTTGTGCTGAAGTTTCACCTGGTATGTGATGTACCTGAGTTTTGTTTGTAAGGTCTTCTAAGTTAGCTTTACTTTGAAAAATTGGTCAGGCTAAATAACCTCTGTAGACTTGCATGGATATGAGTATCAAACTTACACTGTTTGCAAAGGAGAAATCCACAATACCTTGACAATCCAAATTGCTAAAGGTACCACATTTTTTTCCCAGATGAAATGGTTTTATCAACAGATTGGCAGATCACCGTGTGATTTTCAGGTCTACTCACTTGCCAGCCTCTAGCTACAGTGAAATAGATAACAGTGTTCATGTATGAGCAGTGTTTATGTTTCGTAGCAAACCACAATGGAAAATGGTAGGGCAAATACATGCTTTCTTTATGCCTCTGTCAGTCCAAAATAACAGGCATTTGTTTGAAGAGATATTTAATAGGTTTCGAGGCACAGGGCATCATGCATACCCAGCATGTAAAATGAGTGCACACTCTGTGCCAGCTCATTTGGTGAGTATTTTGATTTCAGTTATAAGACATCATTATGCAAACTTCGAGGAAAAAAAAGATTCTGTAGGAAATAGAAAAGCTTCTGTTACAGTGATTTGTTCTAGTTCTGTAGTTCTAATGGTAATGCAGACCAACAAACTAAATCTTATTTTGGGCAACGAATCTGCATTGAATGCTGTTGTCTGGATTAAAAAAAGTCCAGACCACTTTTGATTAGAACTGTTCTTCAAATTATTAGAATGTGATGGATGTGTTTAGATGAGGAAGAAGCTCACAGTTAGGTTTAGATTTCTTCTCTGAGCAATTTATCACCCTAACATTAGTCAGATACCCAATCTCCAGTCCTTTCAGGATATATAAATAAATAAAGTATAATAACAGAGCAGTAAAATTTATGATTATGATTGATCTTGCAAGAGTCTCCTGTTTGCATTTCTACACAGAGGGTACAGAGCAGAATTTCCTAAGACATACAAATCTTGGTTATTTTCACAGGCATGTAGTTGCAGTAGATTAAATCCCAGAGTCTTTATGCAGTAAAATCTGTTGCTTAATATGATGATTAAATGAAGAAACTATGGGTTTCAGCTCTAGCATGAAACTAGCTCTTGTGTGGAAGAGCTCTCCATTTTCTTTGAGTCCCTGAGAGTCAGACAAAATTGTTTGGTTCCTGTGTTGACGTGATTCTGTAGGAATGCATTTTGGTCTCTGGAGATGCAAAAAGTTAGTTCTATCTCCTCCGTGGTTCCCTTCACCATAACTGTTTTCTATTTATACTTGCCTCTCCGAGATTTCCATTTCTTTTTCCTCTAGACTGCTCAATACTTACCTCCTGAGTTTCAGCATGCTATCCTTACCTTTTTTTGGACTTTACCTACAAAGCCAGCAAACACAATACTACTAATTTATGCTTTCTAAATTCTTCCCCACTTCACAGACCATGTAATAATGTGTGTTGATTTCAAGCTCTTGATATTTGTATCTTTTTTACATTTGTCATAAAAATTTTGACAAAATAAATTCTCAGAAAGATAAGAATTGATATTAGTTCTGGCAATACTATAATAAATCAGAATCGTAGAATGATTTGGGTTGGAAAGGACATTTAAGACCATCTGGTTCCAACCCCCTGCTATAGGCAGAGACACCTTCCTCTTGACCAGGTTTCTCAAAGCCTCATCTAGCTGGCCTTGAATGCTTCCAAGGAGAGGACATTCACAACCTCTCTCGCAACATGTTCCAGTGTCTCTTCACCTTCACAGTGAATAATTTCTTCCTAATATCTAGTCTAAACCTACACTCTTCCAGTTTAAAGCCATTTCCCCTCATGTCACTGCCTGCCCTTATAAAAAGTCCCTCTCAATTTTCCTGTAGGTCTCCTTCAGGTACTTAAAGGCTTCTATAAGGTCCCTCCTTCTCTTGTCCAGATTGAAGAGCCCCAGCTCTCTCAGCTGGTCCCTGTAGGGGAGATGTTCCAGCCGCCAAATAATGAAATGCTGAAACTAAGCAGAAATTGGGAAATTCAGTTTTTTATCCCACAACTGAGAATGCAAAAAACCTATTTACCTGAAATTGCAGAATTTTTCTCTGTGCTGTATTTGCATGTACGTATGTGTGCGTGCACATAGCGTCGATGAAATGATCTGTGTGCCAAGGTTCCTTGCTGCAGAGCTTCCACAGAATTTCCACTTTGCTTTTATAGTAAAGGAAATGATGTGAAATCGCAAATTCAGACATTCTTCTTATTCTCTTTTGAGCCTGAAATTGACTCGAGATATTTCCTAGTTCATTAGTATTTCTTCTTGTGGTCAAATTTTGTCTTGCCAGACCTGGAAGTGGTTTTAACATGAATGATAGCTTTGTGGAAAATCACATCAGAAATGAGATGTGCCCATAATTTGCTCATGTTTTATATAGCTAGTTACCAGAATGTGAGATGGAATATTTTTGAAGAAGAATACAGATACATTAAAGTTGATGGCTTCAAGAGAAGTCTCTGAAATTCTCTGTGAATTCAGGGCAAAAGTTATTATTTTAAGCAACAATAATATATTCACTATTTTGTTTCAAGATTTCAGTTTTACCTTAATGTTGGAAATCTCTGCTTCTTTCTCCTGTTACCTTGTGTGGTCATTGAATCAATTTGCATTGTTTTTGCACAGCCACTTGGGCCATACATTCAAATCAGTTTTCTGGCTGATAAGTTATTGTATGTTTGAAGTGGTGTCTGCCTACAACCTCAAAAAACATCCAAATATCTCTTCTCTAGAAGGTTTTGCTGACTGTGCTGTACTCTTCTAAAGCCGTAGTTAGTTATTTACTGATCTTCCTTCTTTCTTTCATTCCTATGTGTTCTATAAGGAAAAATTGAATAAAATTATTTTTACATCTTCTGGACTGAGAGCTGAACACAAGTACACACTTCTAGAGATAGAGTGATTTCTCTTTTGATTTTATGGAGCAAGTTTTGCAGTGTGCTGTTCTGGAAAACCACTGTCTCACCCACTGCTGTTGAGTTGGACAATGACTAGTTATGTGGCTAGTTTTGTTAGCTTCCTTTCAGACACTAAGACTGACCCAGCTGAAAGTGATACTGAGGGTGATGGTGACTGTAATCATCTGTGAAGTCATCTGTCTCCAGTACCAATTGTTCAATATTGAAAGTGTGGAAAGAGTTGTTTTTAAATTAGTTTGCTGCTTGGAGTGGTGACTCACAGAAGTTACATTGCTAAGGTGTGGAATGAAGAGGATGAATATTAGGATGAAATAGATTTCTTCAGTCATTTAATTCCAAATATCATGGTCTAGTGGCTTTACATTACAGCGCTCAGTATATACATGGTTGTGAGCTTGTATTAATGTCGTCAGTGCTGTGTTTCATTTGCCTTAATTTGAGCTTGGAAAACACTGAATAAATAATGAGAAAAACTTCTTCCTTTCCAGAAATAAATTGAGGGACCATGCTGTTTATTTACTGTTTATACTCTCTGGGTTCATGAAATGATATTTTGATTTTCAACAGTGTGTGGAGACAGGACAAGGGGAAACGGCCAGAAACTGCAGCATAGGAAGTTCCACACAAATGTGCGCAAGAACTTCTTTATGGTGAGGGTGACGGAGCACTGGAACAGGCTGCCCAGGGAGGTGGTGGAGTCTCCTTCTCTGGAGGTATTCAAGACCTGCCTGGTCACCTACATGTGAGACCTGATGTAGGGAACCTGCTTTGGCAGGGGGGTTGGACTCAATCATCTCTGGAGGTCCCTTCCAACCCCTACAATTCTGTGATTCTGTGATTAGGTCTTTTCCAATACTTATATCTGGTCTGTTAGCTGTACATTATCTGGTGGAGTGCACACAAAGCCTCTTGGCAAGCTTTACTGTAAGATAGACAAGAATTAGTAGGAAAAATAGTGGTAACATCTGCTTTTTTGATTTTTGGAAAAGGCTTCCTAAAGAAAAGGGAGTTAACAACAAGTATGTGTGGACTGAAGAATGTTTTTAGAAAGTCTTTTCTCAATAAGCATAAAATCGTTTAATATCCTGAGATGGAAGGTATCCATAAGTATCAGTGAGTCCAGCTCCTGGCTCCACACCCCCTGGGAATCTGTTCTCAAGGACAAGGCAGTAGAGCAGAGCTGGCAGATCTTAGAGTAGCATTCCTTAGGGCACAAGTGCTCTCCATCTCTAGGTGGAGGAAGACTGGAAAGGAAAGCAAGAGCCCAGCATGGCTGAACTGGGACCTGCTGATCAAACTGAA